TCTGTTCGAAATTTGGTTAAATCTATGTTTTGTTTTGAGGTTTCATCAAAATGATTTAAATCAATTTGTTGTACGGTTGTTTTATCAAATTTTTCAACGTTAATTGGTTTCGAAAAATCTAGAGTTACGGTTTCGGTTGTTTTATTTAAGATAGTTGTCATAGCTTGACCATTTTTTGCAATCGTTAATGATTCTGGTATTTCACAATTTTTTTGTTTTTGGTAGGGGATTATTACTTCGCCATTTGGAATGGACGTTTTAATTTTTATAACTTGTTCTGATCGCGGAGCTACTTTAATAAAATTTATTTCATTTTGTGTTTGGTAGTATAGCAGTTTAATTTTTGTATAAGGAAATTGTAAATAACCTGTATTAAAATCAAGTGTAGCTTGTAAGGTTTTAAGATTATCTAATCCTATTAAACCGTCGAATATATCATGAAATTTAAATAGGAAAAATTTTAAATTCGCTTTCTGTGGGAGATTAAAAATTTTGGACGCTGGCAACAATGTGCTGTACTCGTGGGCTGATTTCTGAAAAACAGTTGATACTATAAAAGGATCGTTTCTTATGTTATTCGAAAAGAATTGGTGAGCTTTTGTTGGATCTATGAATGATTTCGACGAGCCGGAATCTATCAAAATTTTTAAATTATATTCGGGAAAGATAATGAATGGTAATTCACTTGGATTTACCACATGAAATGGTATGATTTGCGAATTTAAGTGAGGGGTTTGTTTCGAGGCTTGTTCCGAAAATTTGAATCTGGTTCAGAAAAATCAATTAGATCATGTGTTTCCGTTTCAATATTATAGTCAAAACTTTTATCAACATGTTGGTCAGGTAGGTTATTATAGGGATCAGTTATCGAAAAATTTTGTTCACACTCAGTGTTAAATAGTTCTTCCGCAATATAATTCATTCGTGGTGTTTGATTTTGGTTAGAAGGACCTTGGTGATCATTACCGTATTGGTTCATAACCCGGGTAGGTGCTCTGTTATTAAAAGTATTTCTGGTCGAAACACTCATAGGCGTTGGCCTAGGTAAATTTTGATTTGGAATTTGGTTTGGTCTAAAGGCGTTTACATTTCTATTTTGTTTAAATACTTGTGAATTAGATGGAAAAAATTGATTTCTTGAAACCTGAGATTGTACAAGGACGGGCCCAGTAGGAAAAGGACGTCGTACCATGTAGTTATTATTATTATTATTATTATTATTATTATTATTATTATTTGCATTTTGAGGAATAAAGCTCGTTTGGTTATTGAAATAGTTTCGATTTTGATAATTTTGATTATTAAAATTTTGTCTTGGCTGTTGTCGTGGTTGTGAAATAGGTTGTCTAATTAGATTCCTATTCTGAAAATTTTGAAAGTAGTGTATGTTATCTTCTTCCAAAACACACTGTAGCGCATTATTTAATGAGTTAGGTTTCATACAACGAATCGTAGTACCTAAAGGTTCTTTAAGACCTGACAAAAATGTTTTTAAAGCTAATTTATTATAAAGTTCCCGTTTTAGTAATTTACTCTCGAGAGTTTCTTCATGTAAATCTACAAAGCTACAGAGGAGATTTAGTATATTTAACACCCTGTCATAAAATTGTTGAGGTCGTTCATTAGGGTTTTGTCTAAGCAAAACTAAGTCACGATTTAAACAAGCTTCATCCCTTTGGTCTGCAAAATTTCTAGTAAGGGTATCTTTTAAGTTTTCCCAAGTTGCGACATTTTGAATGTTCACCACTAACCTGGCGTTCCCTTTTAATTTAGAAACAAGTGAGTTTAACAAATATATATTTCGGAAATTATTCGGCTGATTTGCTATATAAAAACTGGCAATGATTGAATCACAAACTGATAAATATCGATAGAGCTCGTTCGGATTTCCGTCGAATTCAGGCACGCAATGCAAATATTCCGGCTTGAATTCGGCCATATCTTCCGAATTTTCTAAATTTGTTTCACTATTTGTTAAGTTAGGAAGCGAAAAATTATTATTATTTTGTGAATCTATATTTTCAATTAAATTAACTTGAGAGTTATCAGAGTCAGTTAAAGTGTTGTCGATATTTAAGTTTTCTAAAGAATTCAATAGTGATTCGATAGACACAAATAAAAGTTACTCACATTAAAATAAAACTGATTTTGAGCATATCCCTGCCTATAACTATAAGGAATCGAATTTTCTTCTAAAATTCGTTAGCCTTGCAGAACTGGACGATTTTGTTCCAATCCTCAATGCTATTCGACTTGGGGTTCTTCAATGGGTCTTCGATAGACTGGGTTTCTCGATTTCTTGAGAGCCACTCCACATCCAACAACTTCACTCGCGAATCACAACAGTTTTATTGTTCGATATCTGGTTAATTGTAGAGACGAAAATCGAGCACGTTCGATACGCGACAATTCCAGATATCCTACTGACTGCGCCAAAAATAAACTTTCAAATTGAAAATAGCTTTTTAAAAAATTTAATTATTTTTTCTAAGTTAAAATTCTACAACTACGATCTGTACTACAAGAAATATAAATGTATAATGATGTTAAAAATGAGAAAACTAGATAAAATGCATAAAGTCCTAATCAGCGGTTTCCTAGAAAAACTGGTAACTCTGATAACGCCGACATCTGCAGGATCTGTTACTAGGGCTGATGTAATTTGCTGGTAAACCCCTTTATGTATTTAATAAATAGAAACACTTGGCAAAACATACTTTATTTTAATAAAAAGCACAGAGGTGTTATTTTAAATTGATTTCCTTATGTTTAAAAATGGTTTATACATAATGTTTACTTCTTTATCTTGCTTAACACTTTATAATGTATATTTCTTGTTCTAAATTTAAACATTTAGCCCAGTCTCTTAAGGTAGTAAACCCAGGTAAAGGATAATGAACAGTTCTTAAAATCTATAAGCCTTAGGACGAATGCTTCTTAGGGAGATTGTGGATGCTATGTCATCCGAACTTCAACGAATTCTTTTTTTATTTTTATTGTATAAAACATTTATTTGACCCGGAGTGAAACATTTACTTTACTTTCCTGAATTTCCACTTGAGAATTATTTTTCAACTGGCTAATTTCTTCTTTCAATGAAAGTATTTCTATATTTGATTTGTTGCATTTTTCAGTAATTTTGTTTAGTTCTTCACGAAGACTCTTAATAGTTTACTCTAAAATAATAATTTCATTTCGGTGGTCACATCTGAAACAATAACATACAGTTAATATTGAAATAAAAGCAATTATCACTTCAAAGTTTAATATTTAATAAAAAAATTGTTTTGAAATGATTGTAATGTTAATTAGTACATGCTAAGTTGTGTAATTTTTTTTTCAAAGCCACATTTTTTGTTATTACGGTAAATTTATACATACGTTTCTAGTTCTGCTGATACCAATATATTTTGAGTGTCAGTTTCCGAACTTAGATTCTCCTTGTCCTGGTCTGCAGGTGACAATTGTCTGGAATGCCCCGAAATATTAACAAAGCTCTCAATAAATGTTTGTCGATATCTTTTTGCCTGCCTTCTTAATCTATCGTCACTTTCGGCAGACAATTGTATTTTTTTCAATGGGAGATTTTCAGTAGGAACTGCCGTTTGTTTTAAGTTTCTGCCAGTCTTAGTGGAGTAGTTTAATAGCCTCTGTTGTAAGGGTATTTCAAAACTATCCTTCGAAAAATGTATGGAACAAATACAAACTTAAAAAAGAAACAAGACATAAAATGAATCATATTCAAATTAGGTTTGCAAAAATCATACCATTTTTCAAATTAATTGTATCTTTTCACCCGCAACTGTTGACCCAGGCTTTGGCTATATCTGTTTTCGGAAATCCAAAATACTTAATATTTGTTCCCTTTGTTTTTCTTGAATAGTTCTTGCTGCCAAACACTGCACAACCTGGCATTTTGTTAGTAACTACACACCCTAAAATATAGTAGATTTTAATCTATCAATAATATAATAATAATAATGATATATTAAAATAACAATAATGAATAGAAACTATTTTTTTTATCTTTAAAATACAACAAAAATGTTACATAACCTAACTTTATATCAATTACACTACCAACTTAATTAGAAATTCATTTAATAATACGTACCAATAATTTCTAAACAGGCCTATTGATATATAGAAATGATATTAAATATTAAGATAAATATATCTATAAACTTCTAAACACTACCAGGAAAATATTAGAATAACTTTAAAAGTCGCTTTTTAACATTGGAGACATAGGAAAAACAAAAATATGCTCCGAAGGTGACGTCATGCGCAAGAATGACCAAATTTCGTACCGCTTACCGCTTACCGCTTCACCTGTATTCTTCCACCATGATATTCAACTAACTATAAACAAAGACTTACTATAAATTGCACCGACTACTTGTCAATTACATTGCCATAAATGGTTTTTAAATACAAAATTAAATTTAAAAAACACCTATATTTTGATCTAAAAATGTCAAAATTGGATAAAATATTGTATACGCCTCGTGAGTTAATTAATTTTTATAAATATCTATAAGTTGAGTCAACTGCTCGTAATTGTTTAATAAAATAAATGTGGATAAGAGAATGCATTTCTATTTTTACTTCTTATTAGGTATAATGTTTAATAGCTTGGAGGAATTTGTAAAAAGATAGCGTTTGGCGTTAGTAAATTTCAAATAATTTGTCCCACCTTTGTCTTTGTTACATAATGTTTTGAGTAGAGCGAAATGTATGCATTGAATTCTGAGAAAACTTTTTCAATGCTGTTTCTTTATAAGTTTAACATTAGAGTAAAATAAAATGCTATTTGAAGAGCGATAACTAATCGCTTGGAGTTGCATTTCTTATACCTGCACCGGAAGTCAATATTTTGATTCTTTTTTTGCAAATTGTTGATTAAAATAACGTTATGCCTAATAGTCACCAATTAAAAAAAAATGCCGTCAGTTGAACATATGCTTAGATGTATTGATGTATTGAAAATGTTGTTTCAGAAAGCTTACGTAAGAATTCCACAGCTTCAGCTCTTTCGAGACAATGCAACAAAACGTATCCTATTCCTGGTACCGATGTTGTTATTGAACCGGGAATAGAAGTGGTGATACCAGTTTATGGACTTCACAATGATCCGGACTATTTTCCTGAACCTGACAAATTCGACCCTGAACGATTTAATCAAGAAAATAAGAAAAAAATACCGCCTTATGCGTATGTACCGTTTGGAGAAGGACCCCGAAATTGTGTTGGTAAGGTTGCTAAGTATTTGGCTAATTTTATAATCGAACCCTTAAGGCCGATTTTACCAAAGGAAGCTTTTCTTTATAAAGAAGTAATTTCATAATGTTTTTTTTAACAAACTTTTACTAAAACGTGCTTCAAAAAAATGTATTCATGTTATTGTTGATATGTTTACTTCTAACATTTATCGGAATATTTGCCACAAAGAATGTTAAGTTTTGGGTTAAAACATGAGTGGACGAAGTTAGCCCCCCTTTTTTTAAAATTTAATTTTTTTTTAGTTGTTTCAAATTGTTCTACGGTTGTTTTAAACTGTTCTAAAACAAAAAATATTTTTTTTCCAAAATTAACTTTAAAATTTAAAAAAAATAAAAAATTGCAGTAGCCCTCTTTTTTCAAAAAAATAATTTTTTAATGTTGTTCTGGATTATTCTAGAACTGTACTAATTTGTTCTAGAAAATTATTTCAAAAATTAAAAAAAAAACCTATAAAAAACAAAAAACAAAATTTTTTGATAGCCCCCTTTTTTCAAATTTTTAACTTTTTTTGTTGTTCTTAGTTGTTCTAAAAGTTAACAAAATTTTTCTAAAAATTTAACACATTAACTTAAAATAACTCTTGGAAACTGAAAAAAATAAATAAGTTATTGCGTTGGCACTGCAGCTATGCGCTCCAGGCTGTATGCTTTTGTACGACACTTTCTGCACTTAGTGAATAAAAAACTACTATTTGCTAATTATTACAATAATATGATTGTGAATAAACAAGTATACAATCCTTGTTGGTTATTTCCTTACATCCTTGCGTAATATTATCTAGTAGGCTACGCCTCTCGGTCAAATATAACCCTCGGCGTAAGGAAACCAACTCGGACGTAATCTACTATTAATTTCAAATTGAATTAATATTTTTATAAAAAAAACAAATTTGTTTCAAATCAAAGCAAAGAAGTAAAACACTATCATTTGTTGGTTTGAAAATATTTTTTCTGAGTACACAAATACTTTTAAAAGTACGGAATTTCCAAGATTAGGCAAAAATTCCCAAAATGAATATTTTTAGATTGTTTCTGCGTATTATTACCGACATTTATGACTGTTTCTTTGAAAACAGACAAATTAAATTAATATTAGCACTATTTAGATTTGCCTTTAGTTAATTTTGCCGGCATGGATTTTAATCCTTACGCTAAATGCCGAACTTTGTATTTTACCTACTTCAAATATCCCTCCCTTAGTTTTAATATTGTTGTTGTATAAATAAGAACAATATTTAAAATCAGTCTAGTTTTCCAGTTTCCACCCGCCTAATAGTTTTAGTGCCGAGAAGAAATTTGGACAAAAGTGTATCAGTACTTATTTGTGTGTTTAAAATTTGCAAAATGTCTCAAAAAATTAATAGAATGTTAGATATTCTATTAACTAACGAGTTTAGTGATATTATAGATTTGAAAACAACTAAACCAGTAATTCCAAGTTCAAAAATTTATAAGTGTATAAGTGATCGATTAAACATCGATATGAAACCAAAATACGTTTATATAATACTACATAACAATAGATATGGCGCATGGGACAAAGTTTTAGAATTTCATGACATTGTGAAAAAAGACATTTGTTTAGTAAATGAAAGTGATAGCAGTTTTAATAATACGAAACGGGACCTTGCCGATCTTGAATTTAATGTAAATATCAGTGCAGAAGTCTGGGGTGAGATGAACATTTCAGAAAAAATTTACAAAGATAAAAATCATGTGATGAACTACGCAGTTTTAGAAAATGGAACTTGGACAGACATTATATACATACATATTTATCAAGAAGTGAAAATACCGTGGGCTTTAAGTTTTAAACGTTGCAAGTCGACAAATTCCGGATTGTTCTTAAAAATTATTGCACGTTGCAACGAGTGCAACTGTGAATTTGTTGGAAAAATGTTTAATAGACCTGCGCCTAGTGATTCTTATATAAGAATGGAATGTGTGATCGAAAACTTTGACTCAACAATTCAACATACCAAAAAACGATTCTTAAAAGGCCGTCGGCGGTGTGAAGGTTCTAAAAAGCTTGTTGAGTGCAATATGCTTCCATCGGCTTGGAGAAGAAATGAAGCAAATGAGACCATGGAAATTTGGTGATCCGGAACCGCCTACATTATCTTCTAATAAAGTACTACAAAAAGCAAAACAACAAAGAAAAACATCAATTTGGGAATAACAAGTACAAACCCAATCGACAGTATGCTGCAAATGAAGTACCAACAACATCTAGGAGAAATTCATAATGTCAGCATTGATCCATTTTTTGTACACTATTGGTTACAAGAACAAATGGCAGTATACATTGATTACCATGACGTTATTTGTATTGATGCTACGGGTTCTCTAGTAAAAAAATTACCGGTGAATTATCTTCTCACATCTATTTATACCAAATTGTAACTGAAACACCATCTGCAAAAATGCCAGTATTTCAAATGTTAAGCGCAGTTCAAAATACAAGCGCAATCATATACTGGTTAATTGAAATTTTGAGAATCGGAAGAACTTGTCAATTAAATGCATTTTCTAAATTTTTGAAAGTGTCGGATAAACATTACAAACTAGCAGGAATTGTCACATATTCAGGAAGCGAACGAGTATCTTCTATAGGTCATTTTTCTGCAATTGCATTAAATAATAATAAGTATATTGAATATAATGATATTTTAAAAAGCGCAAGAGTAATAAAAAATGAGGAATATAATATTAAACCCCAAGTTTGTATATATGTTTTGTAAATCATTATGCTTAATTTTAATTTTTAAAGATTAATTGCCTTGTCCATTTTGTTTATTATTTTTTTAATATTATTTTCGCAATTGTTTTATAATTTTATAATTAATTCTGTAAATAATGTTATATTTAAGTATTTGTATTTTTATAATTAATTTAAGAAATATTTTGTTTTCCATACCTATGTATTTTTATAAATTTGTGTTGTTTGTGAATTTGTCGTATTAAAATAAATTTTGTTGTATGTATAATAAATATGTGTTTTCGTTTAGTACTCGTCTAACGTCTATTTCGTTACAACACCTTATTTATACAACTTTTAACAACTAACATTCAAGCACTAAGAATTCAAAAACTAAAGTGTGATTGGTGCAAAAAAATTTCGCAGCCAATCACACTCTACAGTTAGAATTCTTAGTGCTTGAATGTCTGTATGAATGGGGTATTACAGTAGAAAAATTACACGCTGAACTCAGCCAGTTAGCGCATTATAGCTGCAGTGCAAACTCTCTTATAACTTTTTTTTCAGTTTCCAAGAGTTATATTTAAGTTAATGTGTTAAATTTTTAGAACAATTTTGTTAACTTTTAGAACAACTAAGAACAACAAAAAAAAGTTAAAAATTTTAAAATAAGGGGGGCTATCAAAAATTTTGTTTTTTGTTTTTTATAGGTTTTTTTTTAAATTTTTGAAATAATTTTCTAGAACAAATTAGTACAGTTCTAGAACAATCCAGAACAACATTAAAAAATTATTTTTTTGAAAATGCAATTTTTTAATTTTTTTAAATTTTAAAGTTAATTTTGGAAAAAAAAATATTTTTTGTTTTAGAACAGTTTAGAACAACCGTAGAACAATTTGGAACAACTAAAAAAAAATTAAATTTTAAAAAAAGGGGAGCTAACTTCGTCCACTCTTAAAACATATTTATATTTTATTTTATATTATAAACATTTGAGGCTATGAGTGCAATAGTGGACTAACCCACAAAACTACATTTTCTGTCTTGATACTGTTTCTAACACCTAATTTGATAATTTTTCGAATGCATAGTGGACCAAACAAACTTTTACATTTTTCCAATAGATGACAGCACATACACAGTTTTGGTGTTTTAAGATTTGTCTGTCAAATCAGAAGCAGAGTGGACTAAGTGCACTTGGTCCACTTTGCTTCTGAAAAATTGCGTTTTAGTTGACGATTTTGGCGTGTAAACAACTGATTTCATTAAGTGCTCCAAAATTGTGCAAAAATTAAACAACCAGGGAACGTAAGTACTTTCGAGTTTTTCAAGTGGCCTAAATATCTTATTTGAAAATTAACGTAAAAAAAGTTGAAATTAAATTTAAGATTAAGTTATGGATTTTATTTAATTTTTGTTTAAGAAATTCGGCGAACAATGAAAGTTGATGATAGGTTTTTTCATTTTTCCAGGTATGTTAGACTCAGATCAGTCCGATCCTTATGAAGATTCAGAATCAGAATTTGTTCCATCAGAAGAAGAAGGTGAAGTAAATGAGACAATAGAAACAAGTAGTGAGGAAATACAAAAGGAAGAAACAAGGGAATTTAAGCCAAACAAGCGTATTCGTCATGAGCAGAATTGGAAACGAGCTGCAAAAAAAAAGGAAAAGATGTGCTGGAGAAAAATATACTACAAAATCTGGAAAAAAAGGTGCCTTCAAAACCTTTCCTACCTTTTTCTAGTGCCTGTAAAAATAAATGTCATGTTTTACTACCTGAAGAACGACAAAGAAAACTGCACACTAATTTTTATGCTTTACAAAGTTTTGATCTACAAACTTCTTATCTATTTTCATTAGTTAAGGTTGTAAACAAACTGAGAACGAAAACTCTAAGAGAGATAAAACAAGAATCTACTACATACTTGATACCACTGGAGAAGAAAGAAAGGTCTGCAAATCATTTTTTCGAGCTGTGTTTCAAGTTTCAGCTGAAAGACTGGATAAGCTACTAAAAAATAAATCAATCGGTTTACCATCTCCATGCGATAAAAGTGGAAAACATCCACCATCCACTAAAACAAGCGAGGTACATAAAAACGAAGTTAGAGAGTTCATTAAGAAGTTCCCAAGTTACGAATCTCATTACGGTAGACTGAAAAGCAATCATAGGAAATACCTTGCACCAGATTTGAGTCTTGTCAAAATGTACAGTCTGTATAAAAATGAGTCAAACAGCCCTGTTTCTTATTCTGTTTTTAGAGAAATCTTTAATATGG